GTACTTTGGCCTCAATCAGCACTAGTCACGTTCACCTGACTTGAGATGAGGGGATGACATAGCAAAACCATAGGAAACTAACAATTTTTTTAATGTACTTACACTATAAAGAAGCCACTGTGCTAGATGTTATATATACTTTCATTTAATCCGCATGCTAACTCTGCAGTTCTTCTTGTAATTTGTCAATAAAGAAAATAAGTGGCAAAGATAAATACCTGACCCAATTTTTCCACTAAACTATACTTCTGACTAAAGTTGCAAATAATTAGGAATTATAAATGGTAGATCTTCACTTTTGAGGAATCATAAGTAATAAGGATTCACATCTTTCTAAAATCAAAAGAAATTCTTTTGCTGTCAGTACTAAAATGGTAATCTACCCTATGTAGACAAATAATAATAAGTAGCAAATAAGAAAGGTGGTATAGCTACATTAAGTGAAGTCCAAAACATAGAAAAATGTAACTGAAAAAGATGAAAATACTATTAACTTTACAAATCATTCTCCTACAACTAATCCTCAAGCTAATAATCTCAAAAATATGCAGTTATTTAAAAAAAAAAAAAAAGGTGAGCCCTGGCCATTTGGCTCAGCCGTTAAAGCATCAGCCCATGGACCAGAGAGACCCAGATTCGGTTCCCACTAAGGGCATGTACCTCGGTTGCAGTTTGTCCCTGGCCCCAGTTGGGGTTGTGTAACCAGTTGATGTGTCTCACATCGATGTTTCTCTCTCTCTCTCTTCCTCCCTTTCTCGCTCCAGTTCTATCTGAAGATAAATGCAAAAATGTCCTTGGGTGAGGATAAAAATAAATAATTTTTTTTTTTTTTTTTTTTAAAAAGGAGAGTTTATTTGGTTCTTTGCTTTTTAATGCCAAAGAAAACAGGTGTGGGGGATGGAATGAATTAGGGGGAGTTCAAAGTTCAACTTTCTCTTAAGAAGACAACACACAAAACAAAAACAAAAAAGTAAAAGTAGTGCATTAAAAAATATATCCATATTCAAATTATGTTATTTGCCTATATCTTTAATAAACAAAACTTAATTCCATGTCACTGATAACATAACTTTGAAAATGAAAATAAAAAATAAATATTCCACAAAATGTGGCTGGCATAACTATTGCTTTAATAACTCTACACTGGATCTGAAAAAAAAATGTATACAAAAAAACACTCTTAAAAATGTCAAGATCAGACCTGGACTAGGAAAACTAGGACACTGAAGAAAGAAATGTAGGCCCTGGCTGGTGTGGCTCAGTTGGTCAGAGCGTCTTCCCATGCACCCAAGAATTGCAGGTTTGATTCCCAGTCAGGGTATATACCCAAATGGCAGGTTTAATCACCAGTTGGAGCACACACGGGAGGCAACTAATCTCACATCAATGTTGTTTTCTCTTCCTTTCTCTCTAGAATCAATGGAAACACACACACACACACACACACACACACACACACACACACAGGCGCAAATGTATCCTGGGGTGAACGAAGGAAGGAAGGAAGGAAGGAAGGAAGGAAGGAAGGAAGGAAGGAAGGAAGGAAGGAAGGAACGAACTTGAGGCACAAATAAATGGAAGTATACACGATGTTCATGGAGTGAAAGAATTAACATCATTAAAATGTCCACACTACTCAAAGCAATCTATAGATTCAACGCAATCCCTATTACAATACCAATAGCATATTTCACAGATCTAGAACAAATATTCCAAAAATTTATATGGAACCAAAAAAGACCCCAAATAGACTCAGCATTCTTGAAAAGAACAACAAAGTTGGGGGTATCAGAATATTGGATAGCAAACTATTCTACAAGGCCACTGTAATCAAAACGGGCTGGTACTGGCATTAAGAACAGGCATTAAGAACAGGCATATAGATAAATGGAACAGAAATCAACCCACATCTCTACGGTCAATAAATATTTGACAGAGGAGGCAAGAGTATACAATGGAGTCAGACTCTTCAATAAATGGTGATGAAAATATTGGACAGGTACATGCAAAAAAATGAAACTAGACCACCAACTTACACCATACATAAAAATAAACTCGCCCAGCTGGTGTGGCTCAGTGGATTCAGCGTCATCCCATGGACTGAGAGGTCCCAGTTCGATTCCTGGTCAGGGCATATACCTGAGTTGTGGGCATGAGCTCCAGTAGGAACTGTGCAGGAGGCAGCCAATTGATGTTTCTCTCTCTCTCTCTCCCTTTCTCTCTCTCTCTAAAAAAGCAATAAAAACATTTAAAAGAAGAAGAAAAAACTCAAAATGGATAAAAGACTCGCCCTGACCGGTTTGGCTCAGCTTATAGAGCGTCAGCCTGCAGTCCAGAGACCGGGGTTCAGTTCCTGCTAAGGGCATGTACCTCAGTTGCAGTTTGTCCCCAGCCCTGGATGGGTCGTGCGGGTGGCAACCACTCGATGTGTCCCTTTCATGTCAATATTTGTCTCTCTCTCTTCCTCTCTCTCCCTCCCACTCTATCTGAACAAGAAATGGAAAAATGTCCTCGGTGAGGATTAAAAAAAAAAGGATAAAAGACTTAAATGTAAGTCACGAAACCATAAAAATCCTAGAAGAACTGGTGTGGCTCGTTGGTTGTGCAGTGTCCCATGCACCAAAAGGCTGCTGATTCAATTCCTGGTCAGGGCACATGCCTGGGTTGTGGGCTCGAATCCCTTTATGGGGCATACAGGAGAAAGGAGATAAGCCAATTGGTTTTGCACTCACATCAATATTTCTCCCCTACTCCTTCCTTCCCTTCTCTCTAAAAAAAATCAATAAAAATAATTGGAAGGAGGGTGTCTAGGAAAAGGAGAAACATTTGTAACAAAAATAAATGAATAAAAATGGCAAAAGAAAATCAATAGAAATATCTTCAAACAAAAAAAATCCTAGAAGAAAACATAGGCAGGAAAATCATAGACATCTCTCATAGCAATATTTTGGCCAGTGTATCTTCTAGGGCAAGGAAAATAAAGAAAAAACAAAAACAAAAACAAATGGGACTACATCAAACTAAAAAACTTCTGCACGGCAAAAGAAACCATCAACAAAATGAAAAGGAAACCTATAGTATGGGAGAAACATATTTGCCAATAATACATCTGATAAGAGGTTAATGTCGAAAATATATAAAGAACTTATACAACCCAACACCAGAAAGACAATCCAATTAAAAATGGGCAAAGGACTTGAATAGACACTTCTCCAAAGAGGACATATCAATGGCCAATAGATATATGCACAAATAATGCTCAGTGTCACTAATCATCAGAGAGATGCAAACTAAAACCACAGTGAACTATTACCTCACACCTATCAGAATGGCTACCATCAATAAATCAACAAACAAGTGCTGGTGAGGACATGGAGAAAAGGGTACCCTATGTACTGTTGGTGGGAATGCACAATGGTGCACCCACTGTGGAAAACGTTATGGAGCTTCCTCAAAAAATTAAAAATGGAACTGCCTTTTGATCCAGAGATCCCACTTCTGGGAATATATACTAAGAATCCCATAACATCAATTCGAAAGAATATATGCACCCCTATTCATAGCAGATCTATTCACAATAGTTAAGATCTGGAAACAGCCCAAGTGCCCATCTAGAGAGGAGTTACAAAAAAGCTGCAGTACATTTACACAATGAAATACTACATGGCTATAAAAGGGAAGGAACTCTTACCTTTTGTGACATCATGAATAGACCTGGAGATTATTACACTAAGCAAAATAAGCCAGACAGAGAAAGACAAATATCATGATCTCACTTAAATGTGGAATCTAATGATCAAACTTAACTGGCAGACAAAATATAACCAGAGGTATGGATAGATACATGGAACAGACTGACAGAGGTCTGAGATTTGGGGGTTTGGGTTGGGGGAGACTAGATGAAAGAAGGTAAAAAGATTAGCTAAAGAACATATGCATTGCCCATGGACACAGACAACAGTATGGTGGTGGCCAGAGACGGGAGGTGGATGCTTGGTGGAGGTTGGAGAAGAGGGAGAAATGGCAGTCTACTGCAATAATGTCAACAATATATATATATTTTTAAAAGTGAAGATCACAATCCATCTTTGGCATGAAATAACCATATTTTACTAATTTTTTCTTCATGTTTATAGTTGTTTTACAGGAGACATGACTTACCTTTTAAACAATTGTGTGATAAACCACATTATAATAGCATTCAATAATAATTCTACAACTCTGAGTTGTCATGCATTAGTCAAACACATTTCATTCAGAGGTTTCTATATATATTTAACCCTTTTTCTCCCTAATAACAAATGCACTGCTTTTTATTTTTTTTATTACTGATTTTTAGAGTGAGAAAGGAAGGGAGAGGGAGAGACAGAAACATCGATTGATCACACCACCCCACTGGGGATTGGCCCACAATCTGGGCATGTGCCCTGACTGGGAATTGAACCACCTACTTTTTGGTGCATAAGTCGACATTCTACCACTGAGCCACACCGGCCAGGCACAAATGCATTGTTTTTAACAATCAAATGGATATTGGTAAGTTTTCAATGTAACCCAGAACGTTACTGCCTCACTTAAGATGCTAAAGATTATCTTCTATCATTTGAATAGTAAGCAAATTAAATAGTACATAAACAGCCCTGGCTGGTTTTGCTCAGTGGTTAGAGCGTCAGCCTGCGGTCCGGAGAGACCTGGGTTCGGCTTCCGCTAAGGGCATTTACCTCAGTTGCAGTTTGTCCCCGGCCCTGGTTGGGTCATGTGGGTGGCAGCCGCTCGATGTGTCCCTTTCAGGTCAATGTTTATCTCTCTCTCCCTCCCTCCTACTCTATCTGAATAAAATATGGACAAATGTCCTCACGTGAGGATAAAAACAACAACAACAACAACAGTACATAAACACAATGAATTGTTGATCATATTTAGATTCATTTCACTTTCTCAGAAAAAAATTCTTAAAATTTAAATGTCTGCATTTTTAAAAATCAATTTTGAGTACTCACCGACTGCATGCTTACTCCAGCCTGTTGAAAAACCATCCTAATTAGGCGCTTAATCCAGCCAAGCATTTAGATGGCAAAGTCTCTCCAAATTTGCATTTCAAGAACTTGAGGCGTACATAGCAGCACATGGTCCATAAAACACACTAAAAATTTTAAATGCAAATATTAAAATAAAGTAATCATTTAGAATTTTTATTGTCTGCAACATGTTTCACAAAATAAGTCTAGTCTAAAACATTTTAAACATCAAAATTTATTTAAGAGAAAAACGTTGCTTATAATCAACTGAGTAAACTAACAGTATAATTTTTTTAAGTATTTTTTTTCCAGTCAGAATTCTTAGTTAGAAGCAAAAAAAAACCCTCTACTTGTGGCTAATTTAAGTAGGAAATATATTTATGCAAAGGTATCTAGGAGATAACAATCTTACAAGAACCTGACTTATAGGCTACAGAGCCAGGAAAGACATCCAAAACTCCTGCAGAATTGGTCCTGGGAAGACACCACTGCTACTGCTACTGCTACTGCTACCCCTGACAGAACAGAATCTACCAGGTCCTACTTTTGTCTCACTGGCTCTTGAGTTGCTGTCCATACTGGTGGCACTTGTCTGGTTAAATCTACCCAGCTGTAGTTATAAGCAGGTTTTGCAACCCACCAAAACGCATAAGGAAATTCCAGAAATATGGAAAAGGAATTCAGGTGCAAGGAAGTAAAAAATAATGACAAAAGTTCTTTTACACTCATTTGCGCACTATAACCCCGCCACTCAACCACTTCCTGTCAATATATGGTATATCTGATAGAATTAAACTGTGTAATCATAAGGTATAAACCGGTTTACTGAAAGTAAACTGTTTACAGCCTCCAATGAGACAAGAAGTATGTACCAGACTATAAATCAATGCACTGCTTCCCTGTGAAAGCAGTCTTGTTTAAAAAACAAAATGAAAAAATAGTTGAACAAAACAGTTTACTTAGTAGTATAAAAAGTTTCTGGTCTACACTTGAAGAAGAATTTAATGAAAAATTACAGAGGGTGGAGGGGAAAAATAAAGGTGCCCCAAGTATACTAGATACTGGGTAAAAAAGAGCCAGTCCCTAATGACAGATGACAGTAATTGATTCTAAGTACGGGCAGGCATGTATAATTTACTGATAACTATGAAATGGTCACTACTAGAATTTTGGTGACACATATATTTTAATGTTACCAACATATATTATTGCCTGTAAAAATGAATACTCTTTCTGAGACTTAATTAAAAAAAAATTGAAGGGTTAAAAATGTCAAACCTAGCCCTGGCCGGTTTGGCTCAGCGGTTAGAGCATCGGCCTGTGGTCTGGAGAGACCCGGGTTCGGTTCCCGCTAAGGGCACGTACCTCGGTTGCAGTTTGTCCCCAGCCCTGGTTGGTCATGTGGGTGGCAGCCACTCGATGTGTCCCTTCACATCGATGTTTCTCTCTCTCTGTGTTCCTCTCTCTCCCTCCCACTCTACCTGAACAAAAAATGGAAAAATGTCCTCGGGTGAGGATTAAAAAAAAAAAAAAAAGTCAAACCTAAAATTGAGAAAAAAAAATTGGTCAGAGAAAAAGAATGGTTTTATGTAGAATTTGAAAACATATCACTTCTTTTAAAAAAAAAAAAAAAAATTGAGATACATCACATCTTGGTCATTTGGCTAAGATCAAGTGTAAAAAAAATGAGATACAACTTAAAATGCATAAATTTTAAGTGTCCAGCTTGATTCATTCTTATATATGTATAAACCTGTATTGCCATCATCCATATCAAGATATAAAACATTTGCAGAACCTCAAAAGCTCCCTGGGGCCTCTATGAAGTGGATGTTGATGCCTCACTTATCTAACCACTGTTGTAACTTTACAAGCATACGTTAGATTCTGTTGTAAGGCTACTAACTTATAATTCAAAATAAAAAGCGTTCTTCATCTGGCACCAAAACATTTGAGTAAAATTTTTTAATCACCTAAATTAGAAAAACCATCAGATCTTAAAGGGTTCACACACAAACTCACTCGTTCCAAGCTCCTGCAAAGAGGCAGCAGATTAGGAAGTGCCTGGGTCAACCCAGGAAAGTAAAACTTGACAGTGGTGTTTAATGTGGGTCTTCCCACACTCATAGAAACCCAGTAGAGGGAGCCACAACCAGTGGAACACTAACACCCACAGTGAAAATTTGGCAGGCTCCAAAATTCACTGAGACAGCCAAAATGGGGAAACAAAGAAACAAATCCCAAATGAAAGAACAAGATAATTCGACACAAGATGAAATACAGTGTACCTTGCCACTTCATGCTTCAACTTTCGCATATTTGAAAAAACCCCAATAAAGTGAAGCCATGAAAGTCAAAACACAAAGTGGTGAGGTACGACTGTGTATAAATTTAAAAAATCCTACTTCACAGAAATTCATTTATCGCAGTAGAGTCTGGAATGGATTAACCACAATAAACGAGGGCCAAATGTAAATAAAAGGGAATTGAGCAAGATATCAGAGAGAGATATAGAAGCACTGACCCTGGTCACTGTAGCTCAGTGGTTGAGCATTGACCCATGCACCAAGAGGTCCCTGGTTCGATTCCCGGTCAGGGCACATGCCCAGGTTGTGGGCCCTGGCCAATTGGGCTCAGCGGTTGAGCAATGGCCTGAGGACCAGAGAGTCCCAGGTTTGGTTACTGCTAGGGGCACGTATCACAACAAAAAAAGATATAGAAGCACTGAAAACCAACCAATTGGAAATGAAGAAGGGCATTCTAGAAATAAAGAACACACTGGAAGAAATAACCAGCAGAGTAGAGCTGGCTGGGGATCGGATAAGTGAGTTAGAAGACAGGGTAGAAAAAAAATGCCCAATAGAGAACCAAAAAAAAAAAACACCAATTAAAAAACAGGAAGACAGCCTAACAGAACTGTGGAATAATATGAAAAATAACAACATCCGCATCATAGGAGTTCCAGAAGAAAAAGAAAATGAGCAAGGGCTAGAGAATATATTTGAAGAAACAGTGACAGAAATCTTCCTTAACTTGGTGAAGGAAAAAGGCATACACGTACAAGAAGCACAGAGAGCCCCAAGTAAGACGAACCCAAACAGGCCCATACCAAGACACATAATAATTAAGATGACAAAAATTAAAGACAGGGAGATGGGGAGGAGGGTGTCAATGGGGTAAAAAAGGAGAAACATCTCTTAACAAAAATTTAAAATAAAATAAATAAATTAAAGACAAAGAGAGAATCCTAAAGGCAGCAAGAGATAAGCAACAGTTCACTTACAATGAAACCCCTATAAGGCTATCAGCTGACTTCTCAGGAGAAATACTATAGGCCAGAAGGGAATGGCATGAAGGAATCAAGATCATGAAAAACAAGGATCGAATCCAAAACTACTCTATCAGCAAGGCTATCATTCAAAATAGCAGGTGAAATAAAGAGCTTCCTACACAAAAAAGGCTAAGGGAATATATTAGCACCAAACCGGCATTGCAAGAAATGTTAAAAGGGCTGCTGTAATTAGAAGAAATAGGAAGAAAAATATAACCACAATAAACAAAAATGGCAATAAATAAGTACATATCATTAATAGCCTTAAATGTAAATAGATTAAATGCTCCAATCAAAAGACAGAGTAGCTGATTGGATATGATGATTTGTACCTGGCCGGTGTGACTCAGTGGTTGAGCATCGACCCCTGCACCAAGTGGTCACTGGTCCGATTCCCGGTCAGGGCACATGCCCAGGTTGTGGGCCTGATCACCATGGGGGGCATGTAGGAGGCGGACAATTGATGTTCTCTCTCATCGATGTTTCTATCTTTCTCTCCCTCTCCCTTCCTCTCACTCTAAAATCAATAAAGAAAAATTAAAAAAAAAAAAAAAAGACAGCATGACTCGTATAAATATTGTTTACAAGAGACCCACCTCACAACAGACTCACATAGGTTGAAAGTCAAGGGATGGGAAAAAAAAAAAACCTTCCAAGGAAACGGAAAGAAAAAAGAGCTGGGGTAACAATACTCATATCTGATAAAATAGATGACAAAATGAAGGCCATAACTAGAGACAAAGGCGGCCACTACATAATATTGAAAGGGTCTATCCAACAGGAAGATATAATAACCTTGATAAACACATATGCACCCAATATAGGAGCACAAAGTATATTTTAAAAACTTCTGGAGGAATTCAAATGAGAAATTTGATAGATATACAATCACAGCAGGGGACTTCAACACTGCACTGACATCACTGGATAGATCCTCTAGACAAAAATTAACAAGAATACAGAGACTCTACAAAATGCACTAGATCAAATGGATTTAATATTTACAAAGAATTACACCCCAAAACTGTGGCATTCACATTCTTCTCAAGTGCACATGGGCCATTCTCCAAAACAGACCACCTGTTAGGACACAAACTAAGTCTCTACAAGTTCAAGAAGACAGAAATCATATCAAGCGCCAGGCCGGTGTGGCTCAGTGGTTGAGTTTTGACCCATGTACCAAGAGGTCGCCGGTTCCATTCCTGGTCAGGGCACATGCCCAGGTTGTGGGCCCAATCCCCAGTGGGGAGGAATCAATGTTCTATATTATCAATGTTTCTATCTCCCTCTCCCTTCCTCTCTAAAATCAATTTAAAAAAATTATATATTAAAAAAATCATATCAAGCACCTTCTCGTATCACAATGGCATGAAACTAGAAATCAATTAAAACAAAAACACACAAAAACATTTAAACACACGGAGGCTAAATAGCATGTTATTAAACAAAGAATGAGTTACCAAGGAGATCAAGGAAGAAATAAAAAATTTCCATCCGGCTGGTGTGGCTCAGTGGTTGAGTGTCGACCCATGTACCAAAAGGTTCATGGTTCAATTCCCAGTCAGGGCACATGCCGCAGTTGTGGCCCCGATCCCCAGTGGGGGGCATGCATGAGGTGGCCAATCAATGTTCTATCTCATTAATGTTTCTATCTCCCTCTCTCTCTCTCACTTGCTCTCTCAAAAATCAATAAAGAAATTTAAAAAAAAAAAAAAGCCCTGACTGGTTTTCTCAGTGGTTAGAGCGTCTGCCCGCGGACCAGAGTCCTGGGTTCAGGTCCCGCTAAGAGCACAT